AGTTATCTTTGTTGTTTGAAAAAGATCTGTTGAAGAGATTATTCAAGAAGTAACCTGTGATTACAGAGTCATGTGAGTGCATGAGCTCATACAGAGCCTCAGTATGGATAATGTCATGTGTGAGGAGCTCTTCATATTCAATGGATGAATACATCACAACTCCACCTCAATGTGTTCAAACTCACACAGAAAAATTATGAAACATCCTACATGTTGGAAATAAAAGAACAAAAATGTATGCAATGGATGTTCTGAGAAGAAGACAACAACTTTATTTATCAGAGCACAAGTAGCGGGATGAACAGGTAACATCAAGTGAAGTTTTCTCACACTTTGAAACATGCGTTCAGCTTTAAACTTCATTTAACTTCTACAAACAGTTAGAGCACCTACAGAGTATTCTGGATGTCCTTGGATGAACACTGAGAATCTTCTAGGTCGAGCGTTCATTATTTGTTTCTTATCTATAAATCAAAACACCTTTTAATTATTAAGAAAATGAATGTATGCTGAGCATTTGGCAATTAATTAATTGCTTTTGAAGACTTTTCAAAGGAAATGCAGAAGTCTGATGAATGAAAAAATATAACTTGATGACTCAAGAAGCGTCTGGAGAATTAATGAGCAAACTAAAAAAAAACTCCTTCGTCTGTATGATTTGATGTATGGAAAGTTTACACAGCAAGAACATTCAGAGTTTATGATCAACAAAGACAGCACGATAACTCAAAAGTTTCAGCTGAATTAAATAGAGAACACACAAGCACAAACACACACACACGCACACATAAATACAGTCACACTAACACACCAGCGCCTACTGTAAATTATGACGCACATTTTAATGTATGTAAGGTGTCTGAGCAAGACGGTGATGCATGGTAAATATGCATGAGGAAATCAACTGATAGTTACTGTGAGTCTGTGAGTGTGTGCAAGTGTGTGTGTATGTGTGTGTGTCTGGCTGAGTGTGTTCCCCTGTGTTCCTGGTTGTTAAGAGTTTGATCACAGGATGAACAGCTCTGAATCAGCAGCTTCTGATGTTCAAATTTGTCTGAAAATACAATAAGAATAAAAAAAAAGGGGAAAGCGGGGCTTCGTAATGAGGCAGCTTTGAAATAATGCTCAGCTGAATGTGTGAGACATGTTGGTTGTGTGGTTAGACCAGGGGTTCCCAACCATGGGGGCCAGGTCCCCTTCAAGGGACACAAGATAAATCAGAGGGGTCGTAGAATATAGAGAAAGATAGAAAAAGCTGAACCCTGATACAGAACATTAAACATTACAACATTTATTAAACCTCATGGTTTACAAAGGTGACACTTTAATCTGTTTTAAAGCTTTCAGAATATGTTGTTGAAGAACGGGAGATGAAACAGCTCTCGATGGCTCTGATCTTGACTCAGTGGTGTTTGCAAAGATGTTCGATTGGGGGATATTTGTAGACAGTGCTTAATTGTGGGGGTCATTATATAAGAGCATAGGAACCATTAGTTTAGTAGACAGGATGTTTCTGCTCAAGAGTGCTTTGAAGGCTTGGTGTCCCATTTGTCTCCTAATGTAACCCAAAACTTTAGAAAGCGGGATCTTTAACTGGCAGCAGTAACCTTTTACCCACTAACATCAATGACATATTTCCAATATCCATGGTAATAAAATGAATAAGAAAAATTATGGTATTTTTAAACAAGTAGCGAAATAAAAATCACCTCTCTTTGAGGACTTGAGCTTGAAGACACAAAGGGAAATAAATATTCTAATGACGTCTCATGTTTTTCATAAAGTAAAGGCCTGCCTGCTAAAAATAAAGAAATAATTTAAAAAGTGGATTTCTTAAAGATTTTTTTTTTCATGTAGATAATTTTCAATAATTTTAGTATTTGAAATTTGTAATATCAATTGATGCAAATCTGGTGAATAAATAAGATAACTAGCATGACTTAGTAAACTTGACTGAATGTCTTAAGTTGATGAGAACAGCGTGTGAAGCGGTTCGGTGCATGAGGCCGTGATTTTCAAGGTTCAAGGCCTGTAGAAAAGAAAAAGCTGCAGGGAAGTTACCACGTGCGATATTAAGAATTGTAAAAGTGTGAGAAAAATGTTTTAAAGTCATAAAACAAATGCAGTAGTAAACTTTCCAGGTGCAGAACATGAACATGATGATGGTCGAGTGAGAGCAGTGAAGCATGTAATATTATCCTATATAGTGATGCTTTTCTGTGTCTATGTCCGATGAACTCCAGAGAATTGAACATATAGCCCCACGTACATGAATAAATAAAATAAACACACGCACACACACACACACACACACACACACAGTGTCTCAATGTGTCTGAGGAGAAGAAAGTCTGGGTGTAAATCACTTTTCCGTCTGGCGCAGCACATTAAACAACCGTGGCGTGATTCCTTTTCTCTCAGCTCATCCGTTCCCTTTCTTCTTTATCAGCTCGTTCACCATTTCATTTCTTTCAAATGAGAATTCAGGGACCCCCAAAATTCAAGCCCCCGCGTCTTCAAACAACACAACTGTACGGTTTTACTTTTCCTCCCGTCAGAATGCTATCCCTGATTCAATTTTAGATAGACCAGGATTTAGCCAGTGATGATTTTTTTTTTTGGTCTTTCGGAGACAATATTTAATATGCTGAAATGAGATCAGTTTTTATCCCCCTAAAAAATATTTCTGAATATATGTGCGTAAAATCTCGCGTTGACACACGCGTAAAATGGAAGCATCTTTGATAAGCGAGCTTGTATTTAGCATATAATCGTTCTTTTTTTTCTTCTTTATAAAATCATAAAGAGAAGCAACAATGACAGTCTCCATCATCAGTAGTATTTTGTTCTTCCTCTTCTCCTCGAGGGGACTTTTTCCTTTTGATTTAGGAAATTAGCACGCCTTAATACAAAACCACATTCTCAACAGCCACTTATCAAACTCCATTTACTGCAGATGATTTCAGGGTAACATTAAAATACAATAATGTAAATGACCCATGGCTTTTTAATTAAAAATGTCTTGTCCCCCGTCCCCTCCTCCTTCCGCTTTTTTTGTTTCATCTGTTTTACATTTTTTGGGGACTTTAAGTATTGTGCAGGAAATAAAGTGAAAGCGGCTCTTTTCCTCGGTGTCTCTCTCCTCGTTGACTTTTATCACCAAATGAAGCATATAAATGACCTGAAAGCGCAGGCTGTCGCGTTAAATAGAATAAAATAAAGAACAATTATCCTCTCCTTTTTCTCTGATCTGCCGCGTAAAAGGAGTCCTGGAGAGATAAGGCAGATTGAATTCTCTCTGTTGTGCTCAAATAAAAACGTCAAGGGGGGAAGAGTTAAAGAGAGATTTAAACCCACTCCCCCCTGCTATAATTTCAAATCATAATTTCCCTCCCATTATACCTCTCACATGCCGTTTATCGTTGGGGTTATTTATTTCAGGGCGGTGTAACCACAGTCAATTTCCGTGACTAAGATGGATAATTACAGGTAGTTAGAGAATCCGGAAAAACTTGAAACATCTTTAATAAAATATATTAAAAAACGCTGTGATTGAAACAACGGCTTTATTTTTTTTTAAAAAGACGGTTAGCTTCATTCTCCTCGTGCAAAAAAAATAATGTCCTCGGCTGCTGTTCCTCCTGAAAGTAATTATAATTGTCTCATTTCAAAGTTGAATTAGGACGCTTTAGGGGTTTGATGTAAAACTTCACATTCGGTTCAATGAAGTATCACCCTAATTTACAGCTCCTGATAAGGACTAAGTCTGTCATAAAAATCAGCCCCGTCCTCCTCCCCTCCTTCCCTTCCCTCCCTCCCTTCCCATCTTTCCTCCCCAGGATTGAAATTGCACCTTGGGCAATAGTGCAGAATCGTGAATCTTAACTTCTCTCAGCATATGTTCCTGGCAGATAAGTAAACAATTTGGATGTGGAATGAAATTTTTAATTAATACTACAGTCGTGCAGATGAGGGTAAATGTAGGCTGCACCGCGCTGCGTCAATCCTGATCTCTATTAACAGAGAGGAAGGAAAACTGCGCAGACATTCACACTGAAATCTGTAAATGTTTGTTTAATAAATGGCTTTGTGTGTTATTTACATTCAGTAGTATCTTAATGAGAGTTTTGCCAGTCATTCACAAGTCTTTCACACGTTTAAACACGTGTGAATGACTTGGTGATAAAAGGCTTTCAGCGGGGTTTTGGCTGCAGCTCCTTTTTTTTTTCATAAAGTAAACACACACACGCAGAGACATTTAAAACCGCACTGTAGCCTGTGGTGTGCTGCTTTTCAACCAGCCAGTGAGTTAAGAGAGAGAGAGAAAAAATCAGCTCACATTCAAGTTGTTCCATTAGTTAAACCTATAATTAAGAGGAAGGCTCCCTCCTTGAAGTGATTAAGCAGTCAGACAAGTCGGACGGGCGGAATCCCTCCAGGGAGGCCTCTCCTCTCCTGAACTGTCAAACATCAAAAGATCACAACCGGTTCATCCCACAGTCACAAAAAAACACCTTCACCGTGCTGCACTGCACCGCTGAACATGTCTCAAACCTGTTTGGAACTATTAGAGAGAGAAAACAGCAGCCAAATGCGGAGGTAATTAAGCCTTGTTAGAGAAATGATCTGAGTGGAGGAGTTTGACAGCCTGAAAAGGATCGATTAGGAGAAAGAGGGTTATTGTTCTAATGTGAGGAGAGTTAGTTTATGTTCAGTCAGTAGACTATCAACTGTGTTGATTAGGCTGGGGTGAGGTGGGGGACGAACATTCTTAATTTAAAAAAAAAATAAAAAATTTAAATGAGAAATAAAAAACGGACAATTCAAGCGTAATCTAAAATATATGATTTTTTACCTATTTAATTAATTTTAACTTTTTTTAAACGATTGAATTTGCAAGTTTATTCAACCAGGTGTAACTTCCCCGCAGCACGTGCACAACATTCCACTATCTACGTCATCTGAAGCGCCAATAACCTACAAATATACAGGGACATTGATAGTGTTGAAGACAGATTGTCTTTATTCGAAATGCTTTTGCTCAGCAATTGAACAAAGAGCAGGAGGTATCAACCTTCTAAATACATAATCCTTTCCATAACATGACAGGTTTTTAAAATTACCATCTTGGATGATAATACACATATTAACTCCTGGAATTCAAATAGAAGTTATCCTTAAAAAACAGAAAACTAAATGAAAAGACGCGTGGGACTATATTAGCACTGAACCACAGGAAAAATGCAAAATTAAACATTTGGATGTAAAAGATCTTTTTTTCTTTTCGTCCTCTTAAATAGACCGTCTTGTTTTATGTGCCACTGTTTGATAGATATAAACAATATGACCCGTATATAATCCAGCCTAAAGGTCCTGATTTTGACCCTATATTCCAGAACATCAGAATAAAATGACGAGTGCCAAAATGTAGACTATAGGCCTATACAGGAGTAAGAATGGTAATTGTGCAAGCCAAATTTTGAAATAAAAAAAGTACCCTATCAATAATCAACACAAATCAGAATATAAGCATTGAAATGTACACAATAAATAAAGTTAAAGGCCTCCTTTTCTGGCTGCCATAAACGTTATAACATTTACATTTCTTACAGTTCAGGGCACTGTCCTTTACACCAAATCCAGCTCCTTCTGCTCAGCTCAGGAACTTGTTGGATTTCTGCAAAAGTTTCTTTTTTTTCTCTCTCTTTTTTTGCCATAACAAGTCCAAGGCAGTTAATACTGTTCATGCCTTTTAAACCGGGCGCGCTGTCCGTGTTATATTTACATGCATTTCAGTATTCAAGTGAATTAGAAAACAGAAAGAGTCTTGAGGGTTACATGGCAGTGGCGTGTGCGGATGAGTATGGGTCTATCCCAGTCTTGGTCATACCTGGAAAAAGTATGTAGGCCACCGGGGGCTGTAAACTGGACGTTGACCAGGCTGAGCAGTTACACGGGACCACATAGCCCGGGTTTGTGGGCGACGGGTGGGTGTGGGTGTGCTGACTGGGACACCCAAGGGTGCCGAACGCGCCGTTCTGGTATCCCAAGGAGGACGCGTACGGCAAAGTGCTGGTGCTCAACGTGTGGGGCATCTCCGTCATCTTCTGGATGGCGCTGGAGCTGAACTGGCTCGGGTCGAGGAAGGAGTACGGGGTGGACGTCGGCGGCAGAAACGCTCGCGCTTTCTCCGAGTGGCTCAAAAGAGAGTCCGCGGCCGACATAGAGAGTCCCTTCATGTGGTCGCTGTCCCCGAGGTAAGGCAGAGGAAAAACGTACCTGTCCTTCTTGAGCAGGTTCTTGGGTTTACGCCGGGGTCTGTACTTGTAGTCGGGGTGCTCCTTCATGTGCTGTGCGCGCAGCCTCTTGGCCTCGTCGATGTAAGGTCTCTTCTCGGACTCGGAGAGCAGCTTCCACTCGGCGCCCAGTCTTTTGCTGATCTCAGAGTTGTGCATTTTGGGATTCTCCTGTGCCATTTTCCTCCTCTGGCCCCGGGACCAGACCATGAACGCGTTCATGGGTCTCTTGATATGATCAGCAGGCTTTGACATCTTTAAAAAAAGTGCGCTTTTATCCCCAATGTTAATGACGAGGAAAAGTTCTTATCGGAAGAAAGGGAAACTATTCACCTGTCCAGAAGCCAGATACCAGTCATGCCACGTCTGGGAGGTTCTGAGTCGTGAAAAGAGCAAAAATGAAATAGAATAAAATAAAAATCCAGCCGGTGATTCTCTTTCTCCCGAGTTAAAACACTGATGCGCGCTCGTTCAAGTCCAGTAACAACTCTCTTTCAGACCTGAGGCGGGCAATACAGGAAGAAAACACATGCAAGATGCACACACGTAAAAAAAAATCCTCAAAGGTGAAAGCAATGTTCCGCAGTCAGTTTGCAGGAGTCGTAAAAGTGTGATTTTTTTCTGCGACACACTCTTCCTGTCTCTCTCTGAGGTTTGTCGTCAAGCACCTGGCTTGGAAATGAGCGGAAGAGCGTGAATACGAGCCAAAAGCGGTGAAGTTCAAAGGCTGGGCTGGTTTGGTTTCTGCACGCAATCTGACATAATCTGCAGGGCGTTCACTCACCAACCTGAGCGCCCAATCAGCACGAAGAGCGCCTATTATAATACCTTCACCAAAAAATATATGTACATTACAACATAAACAAAGAGCGGGTGGTAGTGGAAGAAAAAAAAAAAGGAAAGAGGGATGTGTTTGTGTGCGCGTGTGAGTGTACGTGTGTGAGGAGGGGTGGGGGGTAATACTCAGGATCCCTCCCTGATTCCATTTAATGTAATGAATCGCAACAAACATGGACCTTCAACCTCTTTTTCAGTTAAAACCTGACTTCAATCCAGGGAGGTGACTTTACCGTGCAGCCAATTTACTGCACAGCTTTACACTGAAATATAGGGGAGCACCTTTTAAAGTCTATCACCCAAAGACATACAGGTATGGCCTTAATAGAGATCTTAGTTAGGTCTATTTTAGTATGTTTTTTGTAACCTTTGAAGACGGTGGATGCATTGTTATGATAATAGTCTAATAATGATAATAGCATAACAGTAATAAAAATAATAATAATGTTATACCCTGTATATAAGCCACATTTAGGCACATTTTGAAATAATATCTCCTATTTTCCCTTTGATGAATACAAAATAAAAACAGTCCCTCTGCACCTGCTGGGGCCTCAGTATCTTGCCCAAGGACACTTCAGCAGCAGGTAATTAACCCCTTGCCCTCGTGTGTGTCACCATAACCACAGTATTTAAAGGGAGAATGAAACAAAGTTTAACTAAGCTTATATGTTAGAGCGTGTTCTCATTTTTACTCAAGTTTCCACCAATTACTAGCCAAAAAGTATTTTCATTTAAGCACAAAGGCCCGAACAAATAAACACGCGCGAGCACATGCACGTAAGCGCACGCGCGCACAGCTTAAGCCCCCGCGTGTGCCATCGTTATTGAACCTATGTAAAGCTCAAGTGTTAGAAGACAGAATTACAAACAGGAAGAAAATATTACATCAACTGTAAACGTTGAGAAAAGCGTCATTGTGTGTCTATAATTGTCGCATTAGCCCACATCGATCCTGCAGTGTGGTTTTAAGGAGGCACAGAGTGATGGTTTTTAAGATGCACATTTAAACGAAGACCATTGCCTAATAGCCCTCGGGCTAATGTGCGTGATATATGATTCCTTCAGTTGTGATTATTAAACGAGCAGCAGACAGATGGATTTTTTTTCACACCGTCCAAATGCTGTGATTGGAGATACAATCCTGAGAGTCGTCTCTTGTTAGTTACACCGCTAAGTAGATTTATTTAAGGTTGTCTCCGGCCTACATAGTCCTGTATACATGCACACGCGGATGTTATGGACTACATCCTATTGCAATTATCCTCTCACCTTCCTCGCCCTGTGCTTGTGTGTGTGCGTGTGTGTGTGCGTCACAAGCAGCATGCGGTACTTTGAAGATGAGTGTAGTTTATTAAACATGTCACAACCTAACAATGACATTCTAATGTTGTTTGCTGAGATGACAAAATAATTAAGTAAATCATTGATGTAAGCGAAAGAAAGCTGAACTTCATTGGGATTCTAGACATTTATTTTCAGTAATATAAAATAAAACATCCAATAAAAACACGAAGTTTTGCCGTAAAAACGAGCGTGTTTTCTCCTCTCGAAATGACTAAATTGAGTTTATTTCTGCCCCTGTTATTCCCATATTTCCACACCATCTGTCTGTTTCTCACGCTCTCTCTCCGCTCCCCGTCTCCCCACACACGCATGCGTCGAGCAGTATAGCTTGTAAAAAGAAGATTTCCATCATATCCATCTTTACCAACCCTGAAATTATCGTTAAAAAAATGCCTGTTTTGGGAGAAAAATCCCCCTCACCCCGACCTCACAGAACAATGTAGCCCACAGCTGAGGACGCCCCCGACTTTTTTTTTTTTTTTTTTTTTCCAAAAGCACCGAGCGGAAGCCTGCAAAGAGAAAAAGATCCTCAAATCCTCCCAATCGGCAGACTGTGATGTTCATCAGCATCCATGACCATGAGGTAGTATATACTGCATGCTCGGACTGTTTATTTCAGCGCATTTTGAAGTTTAAATTGTGTTATGCTATCTGTCACTGAGCAGCGTGTATGCAATTTGACATGTAGGCTGCTCTATACCTACAGCAGCTTATAGGCTTCATTTTGAGATCAATGAATCAGATAAGAGGAAATTATTTTAGGGGCTGAGCCTCCCATACTCACGAGGGAGAACTCTCAGTGTTTCTTATTCAAAAACGGGTTGTCTAATAAATGCACGCCTGAAAGTTCCCTCGACAATTTAAAGGGATAATGAGAAATGCAATAGGTTTTAAATTGTCAAGGATGGAGATGATTATTTTTTTCCATCGGCAGTTTATCTTTAGTTGTTTTTTTTTAAAAGTCGGTGCGTTTAACAGCCTTTACTCTTCTGCTGCTTAGATAAATACAAGAAATTATACTTTAGAAATAAAATACTTGTGCTCTCGCACTTAGGTGCGCGTCATCACTTTTTAAAAACTTCTTTCTATCTCCAAACTTATGGCATTTTCACACAGACATTTGATATAAATATATTTTTAACTAAAAAAAGGGAAGCATTTTTTACATTATATAAATATATAAATAAATAATACAAATATATTGCCTTGATTTGATCTTAGTTTGATAGGAATAGACTGTTGAATTGAAAATAAATCAATCTCATTGGTGTTGCTTTAAAATTAATGGCTGATGACAGTTTATCTTACCCAATTAGAGCTCATATAAAGAACAAATCAAAGTCACAAACAAAGACACGCGCGACCCCATCCCCTTTAGAAGCGCGCGCGCGCACACACACAAACACACACACATACATAGGAACACACAAAACTAGGATTATCTAAGGACACATGTCCATCCATCTCGCCTTAAAAAGTGAATGGGGAGCGGCCCGACACACAGAGAGCCTATTAGCCAACTTGGGCTCCCGTGGAGAGCACCGAGGTAAGCTCCCCCACCGGAACTGTCCATGGTGCTGAAGCGGTAAGAGGTTTTCTTTACTGCTCATTGCGTCCTCCCTCAAAAACTCTTAAAAGCTAGGGTTGACATTTCAATGCCTTTTATTGTATTTCCATCCTATTTAGTGATGGTTCTCTGTGAAAAAATAAAATATTAGAACCTGAGACAACTCACATGGGTGACAACTTTCAGAACTTTTTCTTTTTTCAGCACAGTGTTCATAAACCTGCTTTTTCCACATAGTGGAAGAACTTCACTTACAATGTTAGTGGAACAAACATGGCGCCAAAAGTGATAATAAAAACATTTTTAAATGTTGTAAAAATATGCCTGCATGTCCCTTACTTCCACATAAGGGTGGGATTCAGTTTAAATTACCAACATATTTTCTATTACATATTTTAGTTAAATTAGTACATACTGTTTATCATTGCATTACTTACTGTTGTTATAACTCTTTTTGGGTGGAAAATTGATTAAGCATTGATTAATGGATGACCTTCAATTAAGATAACTATGGCTTATATTTGAGATAAGACATAAAATTTAAGTCCATCACAAACAAACGAACAAAGTAAAGTAACCATAAGGAGTGAGCTCAACTTTTAGTAAAAAATAAAAATGTTAGATATTTTACCAGCAATTACACCATTTACAGGTATGCCCCTATTAGCAGACTGAACCTTCTCCATGGCATTCTCAGCTTAGACTGATTCCCTTCATTTTTAAGTTACTGTGCAACACCTTCACTTTCTACATACTATTAATATACTTAAAGTCTACAATGTGCACAAGTACGTGCAGACATTGAGCTCACTTGTAGTAAACGTTGATTTTAAAATCTAAACTATAAGCAAACTTTTTGAAGAGCAACATAAAGGTCACTCGCTCATTGTGCAAAGGATACGCAGGCCTTACATAATACTGCTTCCTCCGTAAGAAAAAAACGATTGAATCGCTACATAACCCAATAAGTCTCCAGTCTTTACACAAAGTCCTTTATGTTTTAAAGTTTTAATACCGAATGTTTATATGGTCAAGGTCCCCGGTTTAAAGTGACAGTATCATGGCTGCCAATGGAAATGGTTCAAAAATGCAAACGTTCATTTAAACTGTTAATTATAATTGCCATGTTGCTCACAAAAAGGCTGTCTATCCACACTGTGGAAATAATTCTGGGCAATAATTCAGCACATTATGCTGCAGATCTTTTATGTTATCCACTCACCATTTCCATTCTTTGACACTGAGAAGCAATCAAAACAGCAATGAGCAGTATGCAGGATTCACTGCCGACACGGGTCATATGTGACAAAAATTATTATATATCATATCTTTGTGATGATTATTTCTCAGTAATATAATATCAGAAACGAATAAAATCTTTCAAGAAGACCAAACTTAAGCTGTTCTGGCGTTTATTGTGCAACACTAAGGAGTACAGAGCAGAGCAGCAGAAAAATTGACAAAGGTTCAAGGCATCAGGTAATAATGAAAGGATAGGGGCAATACTTCAAAGACCACAAGGCCACGTCACACAATTATACAATACAATTAGGATTAAAGGGGCAAAAGAGATAACAGGAGATAGGGATAAATTATCACAAAAGGAAAGATGTGACTCTCTCCTGACCTTCATTAAGAGGAAAAAAAAACTCATTTAGAGCTTGCCTTCCTTGCAGGGGGATTTGAGCCTTTCACATGAGACTGTGACTCACCAGATAAGATTTACAGAGCATAAATGAGGCTCTGAACTACACTAAACAAAAACATAAAATTATACACTGCATATAACAGCATAGGAGGTGAAACAGCCTACACAATCTATACGATGAATACATTCTAATAATGATGTTATTGGATACATTTGAGAATAGTTTAATACAATGAAGTGCACAAGTTTACTACTGATACTGAGTGATGCTTTTTAGACAATAAAATGTAACATTGTCGTCAGGGATGTTCCTAGGCAACCATTTTGAAAGTCAATCAAACACAAATTTAAATTCAGCTTAGCGAATAGTCTATAGGTAAGAAAACACTCGAGCTAAATTTATTTAATTTGTCAGCAGCTCAATGATTGTTTGCAGAGTGTGGCTAAAGTTAGCATCTAGTGCTAGGACTGCCAGCCTTCGGTTCTCATTGCATTGCAAGTTAACGTCAAGGTTTTTGAGCTAAATGTGGTTACGCATTTCTCCAAATGATATGCTAGATTAATCTGTCACAGCTGACACACATTTTTGTCTCCAATTTCTCGATCAAACTACTGACAGAAGCGCTGCTCTAACGAGATGCTATCTGTTTACTGTGCTTGTTTGCATCCAGGCAGTAGAGCAAGAAGAGAAGGCCCATTAGCCAGGATTACAGCCAGTCAACGGCTACAGCGTCGCCTAGTAGCCGGATGGCTGCATTAAAGCTTGGACACAATACATGACAGCCATTGAGGGCCAACATATACATTTTTTTAATTAGTAATGGGTTTAATTGCTTAGTAATTCTGGTGCACTCATATTGTCCTGTTTGTGAGTAATGTGTTGTTAGTGGCTGACTTTCTGGCACTTACATGAACTGCCGTGACATTGTGTCCTAACTAACTAACAAATGTGATGGTGGTGGCTGGACATGCAAACGCTGTTTCCTTACTGCAAAAGTCTGAAGTTAGAAAGAAGGAAATGTTGTCTGAGGGGCCTGTCAGGTTGCAAACACACCCAGCTACAGTAGCGGCCTGTATGTCTGCAAATAAACCACTGAACACAAATGTGGCAGTGACCATAAGTTGCTTCAGTTTCTGATAAATTGCTTGTTTTTTTTCTTCTTTTATATCTCAACCAAGCAGGAGCATGATGAAAATAGAGTTCCGTGCTTTTTCCATTTTGGGCATTAATGATGTTTTCAAAGGTCTGGGAGTAGAAATTCCACTGTAATGGAGGGGATCCCTGAATTTTCTCAATCAACTGACATGATACAGTCTCTGCTGTACCTTTCTCACCAATATGTCAGTATTGAGCACCCTGGTCAGATTCAAGCTGTCCAATTTCTCCACATATGGCCCAATTGGTATTAAAAGGGACTGACTTCCTTAACTGCTTAGTCCTGCCAACCTTCATCAGTAGCTTTTTTTCTCCTAATAATATTGAATCAGGTCCTCCAATAATTCAGGTTTACCTTTTTATTATTTTAATTTATCAGCTGTGTTACTGTATTAAATGTGATTGTAGCGTCAAAGTGGTTACATGTAGAGTATCCATGCTGATAAAGTCATAGTACAGAGCTTACAGCAGGCGTTGAAGAAAAGCCACCCTGGCATCCTATGGTGGCAACAATGATGGTGGAAGTTTGGTTGTCCAATGCATGTTTCATCAAATGTCCTGATGGCATCTGATAAAAGTTCAAACAACTTCTGCCCTAATGATCCCACAGCTTGGCTGGTATGCTCAATATTTTCTGCCATTTGGAAGACAATACCATCATCATCTCCTCTAAGTCTATCAAATTCGTTCAACAACCTACACGCAATACAACAACAAACCATGTCCAATCACATCATCTAGCTGCTGCACATTTTTAGGACATTGTATGCAAAATATGGCACCAAATCATGACTTGGCTATGTAAAGTTTTCTTCTAACTGTGTAGCTCTTGCATCAATCTTACCTCCAACTTTTTTCCCATGCTGGACTGATGGGGTATTTCAAATAACACCCCAAGAATACTTCCACTTTAAGATGTCAAGGAATGTACCACTTGAAGCAGTCAACTTGAGGACATGAGAACTACTACATCTTCCTTCTCATGTTACTAAAGGGGGACTGTCTCTCTGTTATTTGGTTACCAATCACCTCTCATCCCAGAGCAGGGGAAAGAAGTTTACATGGGACAGTGCTAAGTGCTTTTTTGTGTCATACAAGGACATTTTTTTAGGGTTTGTGCAACAGGAGAACAACTCCAATTCTGTTGTAAATGCCTCGGTCTGTTGAACACCATGGTCCAGCTAGTTTGACCAAAACATTCAGAGAACTTTGCTACCATGCCTTACTCATTATCAGATCGACTCCACTGTCGATTGTCCTTGTAAGCAACGATCTGACAGCACTACACTAATCTTCTACAATGTTTGTAACTTTATAAATGAAACCACGTTTGACCATTTCTTCTTCTTCCCCATGAACTCTCCCTGTCACGTGTTTTCGGCAGTATAAACACATGAGTTTTACATCATTGTAATGCAACGTCAGAAAAAGGTTGAGACTTGGGTTAAAATAAATAATAAGTTTGGAGATACATGTTTCCAACGGATCCAATTAGGTTTCCATTCCAGTCCCCAGTGGCATACAAAGAAATCTGACAAAGATGCAAAGGAAGAAAAAAAACAACTGTTTGACATTTAGAGAAGGCCTTCTACTAAAGACAAAATGTAGTTATTTTATTTTCAGAGAATAATGAATATTTTAACCATAGATAGACCTCCTGTATTCATAGACTTAGATTTACAAGGAGCCGGTGATACACCTGTCCAAGATGGCGGTCGCATATACTTTTTAAAAGTTTAACAGCAGTTGTAAATTACAAATTCTCATAGGAACCAAATTTGCATTCCTCTGTAGACTGTAGATTCAACACTGATAACAAGATGCATTTGTTGTTATAAAGATTTTCAGAGACTTGACTAACTAATGACGACAAAATAAGTCCAGCTTTTTGTAACTGCATTACAAAAGACTTTTCATTTGAAAATGATAATTTAATCATTTTGGTTATACATCATGCTTTTGTTATCAGTCAATTGTAAAGTTAAATTTTTAAGAAGTTCCTTTTTCTTAATGTCAGAGCAAGAGGTTAATTATCAGCCAACCAAATGATGATGGACTTACCAAGTCAAAAACAGCAGGGTCCAATATGAAAACAGTTTTTTATTCACTATTTCAGTGCATTATGTCTGTGGGGAAATTCTCAAATTAAATAACACCTGTTCTTTTGAAGTTAAATATCCATAATAACAGCAATGACACATTTACACTCAATTATTACCTCTCATTAAAGCCCAAAGCCACATTTCATCAGTGGATGTAATTTGCATGTTGGAGTGCGTGTGCTGCATTGACACTCGTTTTTTCGTAATAAAATACGACCCAGATAATTTTGAAACACAACACTTGGATAGAATTATTTTAGTTTTCTAATACAGTGCAGACACCAAAGGATAAAACAAATGTGGCTTTTTACTTGGAAAACACCAATTGATGGTCAAGAGATCAAGATGGTACATAAGCTCAACATAAAATGAAACAGAACAAAATACCATCACTTACTCTTTTCAAAAAGCATCATTTATAACTTTTCTTTAACACACTGCTTCTCTTTTTTTCTTTTACCACAGGGCTACCAGTTCCTCCATCGAGTCGGAGACCTGAACCAGAAGACATGCTACAAAGCTCTGCGAATCAGGTGATTAATTGAAATTGAACATCAATATTCCACAGTGCCTCTCCTGTATGTGTCACAATTATACATATCAATCAACCCCCTCATTTTCTTCCTGTTTTGTCTACAGAATTTGCCTCTTGAATTACGAAGAAGGAATCCCTTTATTGGACAAAAAGCTGCTTGTGAAATCTGAGCTGGACTGTAGGTATTGTGGAATAAAAAATAAAGATAGCTGGAATGTAAAATAATGAAAAAGGAGTCAGTTAGAGAATGGAAAAGCTTTTGAAGCCAGAAAGGCTGATGGAAAGGAGAAAAAAATACAATTCTAAAAATCTGTATCAGTCGATGATTAATTAATTTTGTTGAATGATCTGCTCCAGCCTTGTGAGATATCTGTTTCCATTTCTTTTGCACTTTTATGGAAGATCTCAAGAGACTGCCGGTTCAAAAAGACGGTTCAATTTAGAGTTCCGATGGGAAATGGTTTTAGAAAGTCTGTTCCTTACGTTTGGCTTTGATGTGTTTAAACTGTCGTAATCTTACTGTTCGGAGATGGGGAAAATAAATTCTGTTAATTTTTCAATTGTAAGTGCTCTTTTTTTTCCTTGGCTTCACATTACGTCTGAGATACTCCACACGAAAAAAACAGATTATCAGAGAAATATATAAATGAATAAAACGTAGACTTGTTAATCATGTTAGCACCACTGATATAATTATAAATGAAAATCAAAGTACAAGGACCGGTTTCCTTTTTAAATAAATACAGTATATATTGATTATAAATCTATCAATTGAAATAAAATTAGAATTCTATGGATCCTCTTTGACTTTCATCTCATAATTCAGTGCAATAAAAATGACCTTTTCCTAATAGATAAAGATTGAGATTGAATTACAGATGTTATTAAGTCTATTGAACTTGACCCTCGACATGTTGGAAGGTGACTTGCTGTCAAAGAGGCAAAGAATCTGCTATGGACCTAGAAAGGTCATTTATCAATGAGAGAAAAGATTGATTTCCTGTCATATGCATTTTTTCAACATTAAAAAAACAGTTATCTTTTTTGGCGTTATGAACACACCGCTTCACAGAGCAACATTTAGATATATGCATTTGCGGGGTAGATATGTGATAGGTGTTTATTGAAAAGCAACCCAAAGTTGAAAAGAGGATATAACCTCGACTCAGAACTCTTCAGGGGTGGACTAAGATTGAAATTGGTCTGACTCTCCCTCTCTCTCTTGAATTGAGGGTCCATTGTAGTACGTCAAACAAAAGGTTTTTTATCAGAGGCTCTTAATGTAACCCCCTCCCCTCACTCTCACGGCCACCAACTCGTTCTTCTCTTCCACCCTTTTCACATTCATTTATTCCACTGTGTGTGGAAATAGGCTGGGCAACAATTAATTTCAGAGTGAATTCAGCCAGGATCTATTACCCCTCTCTGCCTCTATTGCTCTAATGGAAATCTATTTCACTTCTCTTTTGTGTCCAATATAATTTAATGCCCATTTTATTAATGGCCTGAAATAATTATGGAAGGCTTTTGTGATTCTTGAGTATGTTTCATTTAATTGTGTAATAAATGTCTAATCAGGGCTCCCATCTGAAGCCATTATGGCATTAAAATTAACAATTACGCCACAAATGTCTTGGTGAATGCGTTGGGGTCTATAGAAATCGTTGCTGATAACAAGACACATATAAATCATTCATGAGAATTTTTTCAGAGAAAAGCGGAGTGAGAGATAGGAGGATGGGAGGGAGAAAAAAGAAGTGGGGGAAGAAAAGAGGAGAAGAAAGAGGCTGAGTTTTCTTTATTCCATTGAAAAACCGGGGATGGCCAAAAGATAGGCCATTTTAAAACTGTGTCACCCTCTCCAGTCCCTTTCTTCCCCTGTCTCTCTCTATCTCCCTTTAATTTGCCTTCCTCTTTATTTTTGAAGTGACAGATTTCACTTTGGGAATTCATTAACCGTTAACTTGGGCGATAAAATATCTATCAGGCCCTATGCCCGGTTCCTTTGCTAAGCTGCGTGGCGCTCCGGTTCAACGTTGTGGGTGACCGAAGGCAATTAAAGAGGCTTCACACTCTCTCACTCCCACAGTGTCGCTTTCTCAGTGAAAACAGGAAGGCTGCTCAACATACCAGCAAGAATTGTTTTCTTACTAGCCAAGTATACAAATTTCATGGTATGGGGAAACTCCATCTGCCACTAAAAAACCCTCGTCAGTTCCTCTGTGTCATTTCAAAGCTAATATACTACAATTGGTTTTGGTGAATCTATCCTAATAGCATAAGGTTTTGGCCTTCTTTGTTCTCTATTACCATGATGCACAAAGGGCCTCCCCGGGCAAAGGATTGCACACTGGTCCTAACCAGACCCTTTCAAGTGACAGAGTCAAGGCAGTGACTTTGATGTGTCGTGTGTTAATCAGAGGGTTGATATTATTCACAGCCCATTTGGAGATCAAGCAATCTTGGATAAGTTGGTTGATATCATCCATCTCTGACTGCCTCATCTGAACAGGCAGGACTGCAGCTGCTGGAGTCAACAATTCACTAACAAGTTTGTCATAAATACAAGCGATAGTCCAGAATTTAAAAAATGAATGAATGATTTTGGGAGAACAGATTTGCTTCAGTAGCTGTGTTTAGACCAAAAGCAAATCATGGCATTGCATCACTTGAACAACTTTGACCACTGGATCATTCATGTCGTATCTAAGTGGTTGTATGGGCATACATGGATTCTAGTGAAGTGGGCCCCAACTGTGCACAGTCTAGGAGTAGGAAACTGAGCTGGTGTTGTTGTTGCCCACATGGGCATGTCCACAACCAATAAATCGGCTAACAGTTAAAACAGATATACTGGCTGCAGTATAGGTCATAGTACCTGGTAAGATCACCATCAAAATGGAAAATTGTGTTTCAGGTAGGGGTAGGGGCAGGCGGCAAATACCAAGGCTCCAAAAGGCCATCTTTACTTAGCAGAGCCTGTCTCGAAATGATGATACCAGCCCAAGATGTTGGCAATATCCTGGCTTTAAGTTCGTAGAAAGAGCAGAGGTAAAGACACATTTTCCATATTTATTAACAGTCAATGATTTGGTTACATATCACCCAGAGGCATAAATAGGTTGGTGTTGTGGCGGACAATACACAAGAAATGGAGAGTATGTTTTGGGCACCAAAAACTGGTAACAGCTGGGTCCCAATTCAATTGAGTTCCACCCTTAGGGTGCCGCTCAAGGGCCCTTCATCAACCTATATGAGCTGACCAATAAGTGGTGAAATGATACCAACTGGTTTAGGCCTCAGGTTGATATCCCATTTGGGCTTCTCATCGGTGTACTGGCTACATAGCTCACTTTATTATGCCTCCTACTTTAAAAACAGTTTTTGGATTGCTTTACCTGTTGATTTCAGCTACTTTAGGTAGCTATGAAATGGCTTGACTTGGGTTCAGGATTTCAAGAATGAATACCAACTTCTGTCGTTCCATTTCAACTCAGCACCACATGTTCATCTGTCACTGGTGTGTAGAAGTTTCATAGACATCTACAAAGCCACATGTCAGTGGAAATCTAGCTTACTATTCCAAAAGTACAAACCAAAAGAAAAATATTTTACTGTGATTTAATTGCATTAAAGTGTTTAGTAGGATACTGAATCAACACTTCTTAGGTTTTTAAGTTAAGTTAACATCAACCATTTCAGATGAAATCTCAGGTAAGGATAATCTTCACCGGGTTGTCTCCCTCAACTTTGATTCCTCACTTTTCTCACACAAGATGTCTACTCACAAAATACCAATAAAGGCACATTTTTAAACCAACCCTGTTCGATTGTTGCTCTGTCACTGTTAAATAACTTGTGTCCAGCATAAGCCCTTTAAATTGAAAAGTAGATATTCATACAAACTCCTTTTCAAAAACGTGGATTCCGTTAGAAGTTTCTATCAGGCACATGTGCAACCTTATCTGCCTTTGTATAGTCTCACGTCTTTGGTGAGCACATTTACTTAATACACGTTAAGAGCCCGTTAACTACTTTGATGTTTGAAAAGTTCAGAAAACTCGTTGCATTGTCATGTCCATAATCTTTTATGACCAGTCTTTGTTCAACTGCTCTTCTTCTCTTCTTAAATTAGATAAAATCCTTGATCAATAACAATGATCCTTCAGCAACCTAAAGAGATCAATAACCCCACCTTATGAATTTGATTCAACCTTTGAAAAACTCTTCAGAACTTTTTTCTATGTAACAAAGCATGGCTGAAAAGCTTGAAATGAAGCAGGACACATAAGCAGGTAAGAGGTATTACACACCTAATGTATCATACACTTAAGAGGTTGACCTGCGTCTTTGTCACGACTGTAGTATGAAGCTCGAACAATCACTGCTAAAGGCACAGCCATTATGGTGTCATTTTACAAAGGGATGCCACATATTTAAAAGGATGAATACTTTTTTCTTTCTTTTTCAAAACTATCAAGTTACCTTGGCAAAAACAAAAGTTCTGCTATTCACTGTTACTGATCAAATATTTCAACCAAGTCTGAATTCACTGAATCGTTTATCCACTATTCATTTAGCAAAAAAAAGTGCTATACGGACAATTCACAAGGTCGTACATCATGATCCTAAAAATTAACTTTTTCAAAATTACAAAAAATTAAAAGATCTTGTTGAGTTTCAACTGCACTAATAATGTTTGAAGCAAGAGATCATCTACTGCATTGAAACATCCAAAAATGGTCCAGGGATCGGGAAGGAAACTTTCATTTAAGGGAATTATTTCATCTTGAAGATCTAAGTGTACCAACGACTAAGATCTAAGAGGTAAAACTGGGAAACTATTTTTATTTATAATTATATTGTAAAAAGAAAGCAACTGTAGCTGAAGAGATGGTTAAGCATGAATGGAGAGGGGGCGGGATATAATAAGTATTTCCTTCTTCCCACTCCTTTTCCGACATGTCAATTAAATAGTTTAGTATCTGACAAGTCTTCTTCATTACACTTTCCACTGTTTGTAATGATTATTTTCCGTCTTTATTCTTTCTTCACCTTTGTCTTTTGTTACATGTTCAGAATAAATATTTAAATCAATATAAAAATAAAATCAAAGTCAAGGAGTGAAACCTGTGAGTGCCTCTGAGGTGTGAAAAGAACTCAACACTCAAACTTTAGTGTGAGATCCATCCTAAAGAAAACATCAATTCTAGTAGAGGAAATAACAACAGGATGATTGATATTATAGAAAGATAGATAGACAGTTTGAGAACCATAGTTCTCGTAGTCGTGGTCGTTTTGAAGATGGAGGATCCAAGTTCAAAGTTCATTTTCTGAAATAAAATTGATTATTGTGTCACATGCGGAGGTTGTTAAAAGTTGTTGTCATTGAAGTTAGAATCCTTCAGATGTAGATATAGCCTTTAAGATAAGATAATTTCCAAATTGGGAATGTATGCAACGTTGAGGTCAAAATAAATATTTACATCTCTACATTTCTCATGAATACAGCCCTCCATGCATGTTCT